GTAATTTGTACGTGGATCTGAGGCTGAAGCCTCTAGACGAAACCTGCTCCGACAACAAGGTACAGGGATCTCCCGTTGCGATTTGCAGGGACAGTAATTGGTCTGTCTTTTCCCTCTGATATGCGGAAACGTCCGAGGAAATCAGGGCAAGCTCACCAGGTGGTATGCCTGCAGCGCGTTTCCACTTGAATATCGCGCCCTGGCAGCTCAATCAGCTGATATCCCATCACTTGTGAGGGCCGAGGGGAGGGAATGAAGATTTAGTCAGGCTAAGAATGAACAAGTTGGATTTTGCAATCGCTAGCGATAGCAATATTCGTCATGGGAACGTTAGCTTCTGGGATATGAAAATGTTAAGGTACAGTTCGTTTGTAGTATCTTCTGAATTGAAGGGGCTATGTAATTTTGTGTTGACATCTCTGTTTTAACATTTTTAATTATTTTCTTTGCATACAAGAAAGCTGTTATGTACCAATTATTTATTTTCGTTGGATTATATATGGTTTTCGGAAGTTAACGCATTTAAGTTTCAGGTTCGCTTTTTCGGCGTAAAGTATACATAAGGTGTCCCAAAAATACCGGGACTGGTTCTGTAACTTCGAAAGTAAGATAGATACAGACATGATCTTGATCTCATTTTAAAGATCAACTCAATACCTATCGATTAAAACCAAGATCAGCTCAATCGGATAAAAATTGACCGAGTTATGGCAATTTGAAAACAGCGAGGAAAATTTACGCCTACGGTTTTTAAGGAAGATTCTTCATCGCCGTAAATCGAAAAGTCGGCCGATAAAGTGATGCTTATTAGTGTATTTTCCGAAGGAAATACACTATTGCGTTTTGTGTTTTTTTATTTTCGAGGTGTCATTTATCAACATTTTGTACCATCAAACACAACAGTTGACAGTGCGTATTATTGCAAAGTACTAAAGGAGTTGAGAATGCACATTTCCCGGAAACGGTTGGACTTGAAAGCTCCGTGGATACTCCATCAAAACAATGCGCAGCCTCACACATCGAGCTTAACACGTGAATTTATGAGTAAAAATGGAGTTGAAACAATCCCTCATCCCCCTTATAGCGCTGACTTGGCTCCATGTGATTTTTGGATGTTTCCCACGCTTAAAAAGGAGCTTCGCGGACGAAGATTCGTATCGAAGACCGAAATCCAGAATGCAATTCAAAACTTCTTCAACTCCATCCCAAAGGAAGAATTCAGGAAAACAATGTTGGATAAGTGGCAAGAGCGCATGAAAAAGTGCATCCGGTTTGATGGACGGTACTTTGAAAAGCAAAAGGAAGTTATGGAAGATTCGGAGGAAAGTGGATACGAATATTAACTTTTTAAATCCTGGTAAGCGAAAAATCTTCCTAAAAACCGTAGGGGTAAACTTTCCTCACTAACTTCAAATTGTCATAACTCGGTCAATTTTTATTCGATTGAGCTGATCTTGGTTTTAATCGATAGGTATTGAGTTGATCTTTAAAATAAGACCAAAATCATGTCTGTATCTATCTTACTTTTGAAGTTACAGAACCAGTCCCGGTACTTTTGGGACACCCTACGTATGATATTTTTACTCTACACATATGCTCGAATACGCATCATAAGGGACCTATGTGCTTCCTAAGTTGCCAAGTATTAATTATTGTTAGATGATTGGTCTAAAACATTCAATACAACCAGTTAAAATTAACTGTCCCCTGCGAGATTCGAACCCCCGCTCGCACAAAAAGTGTCATTCTCCCAGAGGCAGAACGGTAGCGCAGCCAATTGAGCTACTTCGCTGCTCAAATATGTATGGAGAAAAAGAGAACAGTTAAGTGATCTCGGACGCTGAGCGGGGCTTCACAAAAGACGTCCTTGAGATTTCAACGGTTCGGCCACTGGCGTGATAAGACACAACGGATCAACCGCATTACTCTGTGAGACATTGTTTACCTATGCTGTCATGTGTCACGAGGTTCATATCAACAGGCATTTGCGATCGCGGCAGTAAGCTGAGGCAATATTTCTGTATTCATGGATTAAATCCACCAAATGAGTTCTGATTTTGGCTCATATATCCGTAACGGGTCCTCCAGAGCAATTTTCCACCTTGTACGATGGTTATTATTTCTTTATATCTATGTTTAAAATTTGAGGTGGGATAATGGCGGCTTCTCAAGAGCAACGAGGTAGGCGATCTTTTGCACCAACGAACAGAAAACTGATGGCGAAAAATAACCAATCAGAACCTCCCAAAAAAAAGAATTTGCCTGAAAACGGAACTTCGTGGTTCTGCGCAGATTTACCAGTCAGACACGACATCTCCAGGTGGCAAAAAACTCGCTGAAAGCGAATTTTAGCAATCAACACAACTTGACGTAGAGACATGATTGGCTAAAAAATACAACGGTTTTTGATACATCGGAAAATCAACCAAAAATCGGAGACTGGGCGAAACGCTCAAGGTCGCAGAGGTATAGGGAATCCCATAGCGAAAGCAACGGAACGATTCTAATATCATGGGGAACTCCGTTCCCATGACAATAGACCACAGAACATGTTACTCCGTGAAAATTTCATATCCATGATGAAACTGTACTGCCGTGTTAGCGAAGAGAGCCCTAAGTGCAAAAATGAAGTTTTGAGAAAACGGACTCAGAAGCTTCTGACCGGAAAATTTTATTTAAAGAAGCCTCCGTTCTTTGTCAAATTGCCACTAATCGTCCGGAAGACTCCTATAAATCGTATGGATGATTAAAAATCGACTGATTTTATTTCCATTACATAAAAAGGGTATTTTTCATTTTCATGCTAGGTTATTGTTAGGCAAGACAGCCGTAAGTGCTATCTTCTGCATGCCTTCGTGGTTGCGTTTTGGACGCACAACAAACACATTTTCAGGTTAGAAATTGGCAAAAGAGGGCGGCACTTTACTGAAAAGCACTGTTTTCATTAGCTCTCGTGCATCTACGGCTGTCTTGAAAAAAAACTGTGTCATTTTTTGTGCACTTACGGCTTTTACATACGTCTCGTTTTCATTAAATTAGGATGAATTTTGCTGTTTTGACTGTCTTAGTAATTTCATCTAAAAGGGTTTAGACGAATTTTGAAGAAAACTCGATTTCGAAAAGTTGGCACTTACGGCTCTCTTCATTATCACGGCAGCACAGAACATGCTACTCCGTGAAAATTTCATATCCTTGATGAAACTGCAGAAATGCGTACCTCGGTCGCGGCGTTGCAGCTTTCCTCTCATACTTGATTTTCTGCATGGAAAACTATACTGAACGCTAGTAGTCATTATGTATGCTTTACTCTCCTATTTTGCCGTGCTAAGGAAAACCGCCGTATGAACATTCGGGAGTTGTCCAGGGCCGGATTTACCTACTTGCCGCCCATGGGCCGCCTGTATTTTTCCGTCCCCTTCTCATTCGTTTTGAAACATCAATAGATCGTACTCGACAGTGATTCGATGTATCGTTTGGTTCAAAACAATAGAACATAACCTCAAACAAAAATTTTAGGATTTAATTCGGAAAAGCTGAAAATGAAAAAATTCCTAACAATTTCACTTTTCATTGTCATTTGGTACTCGAGAGAATAAAAATTCGATCACATAACACCCGTTACCACAGCTTTCTAAATTGACTTTTGAGGCTGTGGTTACATATCGAACCAATCGATATCAATATAATCTCACCTGTGTGATCTGTCGATACGATCTATAAAAACCATCAAGTGAACGTGCCGGTGGAGGCGGGGTGTATACGACGCGTTTACAAGTGTTGGGCACGTTTTTTGTGAAAGCCCTGTCAACAGGAACAAAAAATCAGTTCCGTAAATCCATCCCTGTTTAAACAAGGCCTTCCATTTATAAAAAGCGAACGAAAAAGTTATGAAAGAACAAACATAAATGTGGTTAATAATTTTAACTTCTGCCGCTGCCCGACCGCACTGAGTTGGCGCAATGCGTGAAGTATTCATGCAGTCTTGGAGGCGCTATGCGTTTCGAGCCGACTGCTGCTGACCGCAGTGTTTTTGACGCAATGCGTGAAGTATTCATGCAGTCTTGTAGGCGCTAAGCGTTTCATGTCGACCGCCGCCGCGCCGCTCCGGTCAAATTGCGTCTTTGGTTTCTCTCTTAACTCGACTAATTGAAGGTGTTGTCTCTTGTATCACCGAAGGACGACAAAATCAGAAGTTACTGTACTTTTATCCTCAGGAAATGAGAGATTTTGTTGCCTTTTCTCGTTTTTAATTTATTTTCTGAATCCTATATTTTTCTCTCTTTTTTTGATACCTACATTCAAGAAGATTGCAAAATTTGCTGCCCCCTACATTTTGCCGCCATAGGCCGCGGCCCATGTGGCCACCCCCTTAATCCGGCCCTGGAGTTGCCAAACCCTTGATAAAATATGTATTTTTGGCGACATATATTAAGCCGCTCTCACGGCGCAGCCTCGCGCTCTGCGACGCCCTATCACCATTGCCCCCTATTTTTGGCGACATTCTTGCACATTTTTCTTCGAAATTTTCAGATACTTTAGATTAAACTGCGTACGAAACTGTCTGAAAATTTTGGAAAAAAAATATTCACAAATTTCCCACTAAATTTCGGTTTTTATCGATGGAAACTTGGCAACGTCCAGAGGCTCATACGGCGTTCTTCCTTAGCACGGTATTATTTGCAGATCAGTCATGAAAGGAGGGAGCGTTCGCCAAAAAAACTCCTTAACTTCGTGCGATAACTATTCGAACACGACTGTCGCGGGGTTGCATACCCATTATTTTGAAGGAAATTTTCCGGCGCGTCTCAGAAAATGAATACTTTCTATACCTCGGTCCTTTTAACAAGAATGAAACTGATATTTTGGGGGTGATTTTTGGTAGATAGAAATTACTTTGCTGTTTTTCTTTTGGGAAACTGGGCCTTCGTTTTGTCTGATTACAACTTTTCTTTGCTTCAATAAAGTAATCGGAAAATAATAAGATGATTCCTCTGTTTCAGATTTCCTGTATCGCACAAATGTAACTTTTGATAATGTTACAACCCAGTTAGAAATCCTAGACACTTGTAAATGCACGGTAAGTACATGCATTTTATTTAAATTTTTTATGCGCGCCAATGTTTGGAATCAGGGCAGAAAACTTGAACGCCAGGTGTGTTTTGAAAAAATTTGAAACACTCGTTTTATGTTCTATTAGTAGTTCTCAATCGGTTTAACGAGTTAACATTGATTATTGCAAACTGACTTTTGCTGGAAAAGGATAAAAGAGGGGAAGGAACAGAGGGTGATGGAGAGGGAGAGAAGAAAAATGAATGAAGGGGATGAGGGGAAAGAAAAAAGGAAGAAACAGAAGTAGAGGTGGAGGTAGAAGAATTTCTTCTCTTTAGTTTCCTTTCTCTATTTCTCTCTCAATTTTTTCTCCTTTTGCACTCTCTTTTCTCTCTGTGTTTCTACCTCCTCTTTTCTCCCCTTTCTTCTTTTCCTTCATCTTCAACTCCCGATTCAGACGATGAAGAATTATCAGGCTTAGATAAGTTTTTTTAATACTTTCAAACCCTGTAACACTTTGATTTTTAGCCACACAGAAATCACAACCACAAAAAAGTCGCAAATCATAACTGATAAGTAGTTTTTTACAATACGATCATGAGACCAATGTTTTCAATGTGGATAGTAGCGAACGCCGCTTTGTTCTGAGGCCCAAATTCGTCGTTGGCGCTTGCAAACCGAAAGTAAACAAACGCCAACTTTTAGCCGACGACACCTCAAGTTAGTCTACTACCAACCTCGTTCGTCCATTGAAATCACCCGCTACCACCAATAGGACCCTCCATATCTCTTTTGTCTTCTTTGTCTGTGGCTTAGTCTATCAATTTCAATAATCGGCCCGCTGAACCGGAGGCTGAAACCCGGGACGCGAAAAACTCGGGCGCGGCCACTGGAGACTCCAAAGCCGAGGCGCGCAGGGCACACGTCGTCGCTAGTCCGACGTAAGGGCGTATCCCGATTTCGTGATTAGCCCCAGAAAGCATGGGCTCATACGTGAAACAGGGCTCACGCGAAAATTAAGATACCTCGAAGGAGCGACGACGTCTCGGCGGAGAGAAAGTTCCCGCGCGAAGGGCGATCGATCAGAGGCTCATCGAAATGAGGGACAGTGGCGGATTCGGAGGAAGTGGCAAGTGGACTGGACTTGGGGCCGGGAAAAGTAAACACGCGGAACGGGGAACGGGGAACGGGGATCCGCCGACGAAATCGAAAACTGGTCAACCGGGAACGGAACGGAACGGAGCCGCCTCGTAAATCAAAGCGGCTCACGACCCAACGCGCCCCGCTCACAATTAACAACCGCTGCCAGTCTATTTACCCGCGCGGGACCGGGGAGCTCCCTTCCCGGATCGGACCGGGGCGCCGAGCTCGTTAATTCTCCGATTGAAAGTCCCCGGGACAGGAAAAATGCGCAAGGAGACAGCGAAGGCAAAAATACCGAATTACGGAACTCTAGAACCGTCTTAGAACAGGGTGTCTACCAGCGGAAATGTTAAGGTGCTCAATCCCCCAAGATTTGTGGTTTGAAAGAGAGCAGTGGAGGTTAGGAGTCGTAGAGCGCGAGGGAGTGCTGTAAAGCGACTTATATGTATGTATGTCTACCAGTCCGGAAAGCCCGGAAATAATACTGATTTATAACTGGCGGCCCGCCGGAAGTGCTGGAAAAGTGCGGAATTTTGCAAGACGGTCTGGAATTTTTTCATTTTTTTTGCCATTTTTATCACCATTCGAGCGGGAATTTCAAACTTGCCAAATTGCATCAACGGACCACTAGACGAGGTACGAATTTCAGCATTCTGATACATGTTCCTTAACCAAAATTTTACGTAAAACACGATGCGAACAACAAAAATTACCGAAATCAACTCCTTACGAAGATATATTTAATGATTCTCGGTGCGTGAATTCAAACCACCCGCTTATGAAAACTTAATGCTCTACGTGATACACATCGCGCGCTGAGCGTTCTTATGATAGTCTCTGCAATATAAAAATCTGGCAACCTCAATCTTGACGGTTTGGCTCAGCTATAGCAAATTTTTTATGGTTCAAACAACACATGATGGGAAATGAACACTGCTCGATTGAGAAGCTTGCTGAAACCGCGGTGTAGTGCGCGATTTGGCTCAAGTAGAACTTTGAGTTTCTTATAAGCGGGCAGTTCAAATTCCTTGTAACCAATGTGAAATAAAAATGTTAATATCTCCGTTAGGAGTTGGTTTCAGTAATTTTCGTTGTGTGAATCGTGTTTTGCGTAAAATTCTGGTTAAGAAACATGTATCAGAATTCTTAAATTCGTACCTTGTTTAGTGGTCCATTGAAGTTGAGACATATGTTGGCGCCTAATTATTTGCGGTCAGCTGGTCAAGAAAACGTTTTTAACTTAGTTTAACCTTTTTGATCCGTACCAAAATCTTCTAAGGACCCCATAGTAGGCAAGTATTCTATCGAGTAGAGGATATGTATAAAACTTTTTAATCAGTAAAAAGGAAATAAAAGAAAATCCAATTTTTTCTGACCCTCAGAACAACAATGGCGCGGCGTGCTTTGTGATATATCGATCGATCCGCCAAACCTATGGAAAAGAATTGATAAACAGGGCGTTCTTGAGGGACACTTTAACTATCGATTCTTTACCACAACCCCAAATAGAGTTATATCGATAATCGATCATTAACGCCTCGCCACTGCAGACCACGCACGTGCAGTTCTCAAGAGTCTCGGAGACTTGAACGCGGGGATAGAAAAGTGTGGCAGTTTAACCGTGAATGACCCTGTATTTGAACCGAAGAGTGGCGTTCAACGTATCGAACCTAAGTTCACTTTCGATGCATATGACGTCACACATAGACCCTTTACGGGCTCCTATTGCATCTGCGGACGCACGTTTCACTCGCAGGTGTATTCGGGGCTTAACCTCTCATTCTCTGCCATGCCGGGGAAAAACGCCGTATGTGTACTCGAGAGTTGCTAAATTTTCCCAGATACAATATGAATTTTTGAGGAATGTTACGCATATTTTTCTTTGGAATTTTTAGATATCTCAGATAAAATTGTGTACAACATTGTCCGACATATTTTGGAGATAGATTTACACAATTTTTCCAAAAAATCCATTTTTATTGAGGGGAAATAAGGCATCGTCTGAAGAACCTTACGACGTTTTTTCTTAACACGGCTGTTTTCTCGCTTCGACCGTTTCGGGATACTCCCCCGCACGGGCACGGGCCGCTCAAAGGCGCCGCACAGTGGATCGAGTCAATTAGAGCGGTCGGACAAGAAATGTTTGACTAAAACTGCAAATGATTATGTTTAACTCGTCACAATTTAAATTTCAATGGGTGTATACAGAAGAAAATTGTACGCAGAAACCAATAAAACCATTTTTGGAAACTCGAAATGATGTATAAACGGAGTTATGAGCTTTTAAAGTTTCCAAATTTTGTCCGACCTCTGATTGACTCAATCCACTGTGCGGCGCGAGACAGCCCAGGCGCTGCGCTGGCCGCAGTCACTCGCAGTAGCGAAGCGTGAATGATCGATCATCGATTTTTTCCCATTTGAAGCTACGTAAAATAATCGATTGTTATGGTGTTCGTTGCGAATATTCTATGTATCGATTCTTTTTCGTAGGTTTGAATGGCAGATCAATCGATATATCGCAAAGCACGCCACGCCACTGGTCGGAATCACTCGCCGGTCGTGGTGTTGCGCCTCGTAGTAGCCCGGGGACGTTGACTTAGCGGCGCGACGCTCAGACGAGACAATAGCTCCGACATTCTGACCCTATCCGACACCACGAGCGTGTGCTCGTCTCATGCTTGTTAAAATTTAAACGCCGCACAGTGGGTCGAGACAATTAGAGAGGTTGGACATGAAATTTTTGACTAAAACGGCGAATGGGCCTGTTGCAAACTTTTGCTGAAGCAAAAATAAGAGTTGTTCCTTATAGATAATGTCTCAAAAATCACGATGAGCGCATCGGCAAACTCTGAAATGCACTCTTAACTGCACAATCTGCGTAGAAATTTGCGTTTTTTCAAGCTTCCCGCTTCAAAAAGGATATCACGGCACAGGTGAAAATTTCGTCCGAGGAGTCATTCCATCCAACCCCTGCTCACAAGGATACTCCGCAATATTCAACATAGCCGACGCCAATCCACCGAAAAAAATGTGAACGGACGATGATTCTAACCACCTGATAACAATCGTCATGTTTACATTCTTATTTTTCTCGCGTTAATAGATGTCCGCCTTGATTGACCTCAAGCTCTCCTCAACTTGCGCGCGGAAGCGTCGGCCATGTTGAGCAGGGATTGAATGGAACGGCTCCTCGGACGAAATTTTCACCTGTGCCATAGTATCGTCTTTGAAGCGGGAAGTTCGAAAAAGCGCAAACATACGCAGATTGTGAAGTTAGGAGTGGATTTCAGAGTTTGCCGATGCGCTCATCGTGATTTTTGAGACATTTTCTGTAAGAAACAATTTCTACTTTTGCTCTAGGAAAAGTTTGCAACAGGCCCATTTTCACGAGGAAGCCAATGGAACCACTTTCAGAACCTCAAAGTTTTGTATAAACGTAGTTATGAGCTTTAAGAGTTTTCAAATTTTTTCCGACCTCTCCTATTGACTCGATCTACTGTGCGCCGACTTGGATGCTTGTTTCAAAACTCACCCGCGCAATTACGAATGAGTGTTGAACACGATTGGTATTCACATATGCTTCCTAGTATTGATGAAGTATTATGCACAATTTCAACAGCCTGACGGATTCGTTTGATTGGAATGAAATAGCAGAAAAGAGCTGTATTTGTACAATTGGACTTATTTCTGCTAAACGGAACTATGTGCATTATGACGTAAGCCTAAGCCCTGTTATGCATATATTCTTTTGTGTCTCAGGGCTTATGTCGTAATGGACATAATTCCGTTTGGCAGAAATACGTCCAGTTGAGGCTTTGGTGTAGAAAAGGGCATTTATTGGTTGCGGTCTTGCGGTGTCTCAACTTCTTCACTGCTTATTTATTT